AGCTAGTGAGATCTTCTTCCTCTATAGGTCTAGTTCTTAGAACATTAGCTGCCTAATGCGTGAAGAGACGCCTGTCCAGGTACACCCAGGAGTGTCTGGCTCCAGCCATCTAGTTTTTAATATATGAACATTTTTGCTAAAAGTTAAGAGTCTAGCAAGAGCCTTTCTTTGGGACGATATTCAATATTTAAAAACTGCTCTTTAAATTACCCAGATAACTACATATATCCATAACGTAACAGAAAAAGAGAACACTCCCCCCACCCCCAGAGAGAAACCTTATTAATCGACGTGGAAAATGTCAACTCATGGAGTAAGTACACAGACAAAGAAGGTTAACTTTCTACTCATTAAAAAGCACTAAGATGCAGGCGGTGGTGGTGCACACCTTTAATCCTAGCACTTGGGAGGCAGAGGCAGGTGGATCTATGTGAGCTCCAGGCCAGCTTTGTCTATATAGTGAGTTCCAGGACAGTCAGGGCTATGTGAAGAGACACTGTCTCAAAGAAACAAAAAGCAAACGATAAAAAAAAAGCACCAAACTGGACATGCTGGCACACTCTGTAATCTTGCCTTTCAGAGATGCAGGCTGAAGGACAAGTTCAAGGCCAGCCTGTGACTACATAGCCAGCCCCTCTCCATGTTAAACATAGCAATGTAGATACTCTTGCCCACGATTACAGGTTGACTTTCCTGACTCAGACAGATAGACACGATTGTTCAGCCATCATCAGGGAAGCTTCCTCCTGCAGCAAATGGGAACAGATACAGAGATCCACAGCCAGGCATTACACAGAGAGTGAGAGATATTGACCTTGGAACACACAGCCCTAAATGGGAAGGTTCCATCAAATCCCTTCCCTCAGGGCTCAGAGAACCCAGCAGAAGAAGAGGTGTAAGGAGTGTAGGAGCCAGGGGGAATGGGGACACCAAGAAAACGAGCCCTCCAAATCAACAAAGCTCATATGAGCTCGCAAAGACTGAGGCAGCATGCCCAGAGCCTGTGTGAATCTGCACCAGGTCCTCTGTGTATATGTTCTGGATTCCAGGTTAGTTTTTTTATGGGATATCTGAGTGTGCAAATGAGAGGATCTCTGATTCCTCTGCCTTCTCTTGGGCTCTTTTCCTTGTTTTGGTTTGTTTTGTCCAATTTCATTTTTCATCTCTTAGAAGCCTGTTCTTTTCTAATGAAAGACAGAAAGGGAATGTATTATGTGAGAAAAAAAAACATTTTCAATAAAAAGGGGAAAAAAGACTTCAAAGAATCTTCATAAAAGGGAAAAACAGTTTAGCAAATTGCCTTGTGTGTTCCCTAATCCTTATGTTAAAGTCCTAAAAGCCCTTATTTAGAAGCAGTATCACCACAGGTGTGGTTAGCTACAATGATGTCATCAATGTGCGCTCCAATCCCCCATGATTGGAGGCCTTGAAAAAAGAAGAACAGGAAATGCAGGCTTGTATACGGAGCTGGAAGCAGAAGTCAGGATAATCCTTCTTCAAGGCCAGGGTCACAGAAGATTACCACAGAGAGCTAGAAGCTTCTTGAAAAGCATGGGCTGGAGCCTTTTGCACTTAGGACAAACCAGTCACCAGATACCTTAGCCGTTGAACCCTCAAGATTGGGAGACAATAAGTTTCTGTTGTTCCAGGCTACACTGAACACTTGGTCATAGGAACACAACAGATCCTGTATTTGGGGGATCCCTCCACTTGTTAAAGCATGGAAAGGACTGGTGAAAGCTGCCACCACCTTTGCCCTTGCTCTTTCATGAAATAAGAAAGGGAGAAAAGGGGACGGAAGAAAGGAAGGAAGAGATGAAAGAAAGAAAGGGTTTGCCTGTAAAAGTATAATAAATAGATCCAACTCATCGATTAGAACATTGTTTGGGGAGAGAAATCAGCTTGGGTGGTGGACTATGACCCTTGAAATGATGTTTGCTGGGTCCAAGCTGGGTTACTCGTTACAGAGCAAACACTTATTTTATATTCACCCGGTGTCCGAAACAAGTTTTGAAAGGGAGGCGGGTGTATGAGCTACTAAAATAGTATCGCCGTGATTCATGCCCTGCCCCTAAAATTTCTAAATGAAGTCTAATATGAAGAATGACTTAGGGTTTAAATCTTCCAAGGTGCCCTGGGGCACGCACACACACTCATACACATTTTCAGTAGAAAATCAACATATTTTAATGGCTCTCAAAGTCATCTTTTCTATCTGAATCTTACCATTTTCATGTCCTAAATAATTACCAGACCTGGAAGGGTGTTTTGAGGTCTATTGTAAATGGTTCTCAAGTGCCAATGACAGAATCGTGTTGGGAGAGAGTCTAAGTCACCCCTGGACACAGCTGGGAAAGAGACTTGGGAAGGATCCCAGCTTGCTCTCTCCTGTAGGAATGGAGGCCTCCAATTAGAAGGGATTGTACGCTTAGAATTTCTCTGATGTTTTTCTCAGATACTAAAATTTTCTAAGAGTGAGAATAAGAGGGATAGGTGCTTCGGCTGTTAGAGAAAACACCAACAATTCCTGGATTAAACACCGGATGACCCTACTGTGAACAGCAGGTCAGATTTTCATTGTGTGCTTTACATGAGGTTTTTACATTTCAATGTTTTGACTGTAATCTGTCACAGGACTCAGAATTCAACAGATTCAGAAGAAAGCACAATGACAGTCCCCAGTCCCCAGCCGCCCCCAAGCAGGGACATCACTAGGGTCTGCCATTTGCCATTGCCAGCTTCTGGCTCTCATTCAGAGCAAAGGACTGGGGGACTTAACTAAACAGAAGCCTGTTCCCTCACCTTGTCACTCCACCACGTCACTGCCACGTGCAGGCTATAGTCACAGCAGACTTTGGGGTCCGCCCAGCTGCGCCAGGTCTCAAAGGCCTCGATGAGGGAGCTGCCTTTCTTCGGAATGGCGAAGTCGATGATCATGGTGGTACCGCCAGCCAAAGCAGCCTGGAATTACAAGAGTGTTCTGGCCAATGAGTTGTCCATCCCTGGATAGGTCACCTGTCCCCCTCTGTGAAAACTGTACATCTACAAGCCCCGGAACAATCCGATGAGTCCAGGAAATGCCAAAGATACTGCTTTTAACACACTTGAGGGGCACGAATAGATTCCCCAAAAACTAAAATTCAAAGTCTCACAATGCCTGGAACTGCTTCTGAAAAAGAAAACGCGCTGTAAAGAAAAGCTGAAATGGGTAGGTATGATGGCTCACGCCCGCAGTCCCAATCCTGGGGTGGCTGAAGCAGAAGGGCTGCTGTGAGTGAGTGTCAGCCTGGGCTACAGAGTGAGAGCCTTTATCAAAAAAGAACTAAGCAGAAACCCTTAGGTGGGGAAGAGTAGAAACGACCTAAGCAATTAAAAACTAAGTGGGTGGTGGTGGCGGCTCACGCCTTTAATCTCAGCACCCAGGAGGCAGAGGCAGGTGGATCTCTGTGAGTTCAAGACCAGCCTGGTCTACAGAGCAAGTTCCAGGACAGCCTCCAAAGCTAAACAGAGAAACCCTGTCTCGAAAAACCACCACCACCAACAAAGTTACCTGCTATTGTAAAAGCCCATTTCCTCGCGTTCTATTTTAGGGAATTACATCTCTGGCATCCCTGTGATACACTCAGAGAACCCTGGAAAACTTACAGAGCTGAAGCCTCTGCACCCCTAAATTGCCAGGGATACTTTCATCTTTCTTTGATTTACATCTGTGGGCACCACCTGCGCTGGTTTTAGCTCAGAGCCTTTTCATCTCTAACTGACTGTTTTAGCAGGCTGCACGTTCGTCTTTCTCTAGTTCTGCCCTAAACATCCACCTATAGTCTCTCAGTGCAGAGGGCATTTCCAACCCACGGATGAGCCACTTGGCTCAAAAGGTTAAGGACAGCGGGGAGGAACAAAGCCGCCATTAGATAAGGGCAATACTCTCTGGTTTTGATAGCAGGGTAGAGGGAGAGCAGGGGGAATACCTTGTGTTTTCAATAGCACAGAAGAGCAAGCATCGTTAACAACTGCACTTCCTGTTTCATGCTAACTAGAAGAGAAGATTTGGCATGTTCTCACCACAAAGAGATGCTAAATGTTCACAGCTATAGAAATGCTAATTGCCCTGTTTTGATCACTACACGATGTTTACACAGGTGGCACTAGGCACTCCGTAACTACACGGTTACTCTGTGCCGACTGAAAACTGTAGAAAGTTAATGCCTCTTGTTGCCTCTGGAATGAAGTTTGCTCTTCATCAACTTGGTCCCTGCCTCCCACCTCAACCCTCGGCAGACCTGGTGGCACATTACGCTACATTACAGGTAATTTAAAAACTATTACAAAAAACAAATGCCTCCGACTCATTATTTAAATAGATTTCATTTAAACAGAAGTCGCAAGGTGGTTAATGTATTTTTAATTGCTGTTCTCAAACAATGTAGGTGAAGAAACAAACATAATCAGAATGGTGGCCCAATAGTTTAGAGCAGGGACCCTGGGGGTTCCCTGGCTCTACAGTACAACACAAAGACTCTAGCTGGCTCTCCTAAGCAGTTTCTTCTGTATCCTCTGAGCCTTCATCCTAGAAGAGAGAGCAATGCCTGTATCTAAACCCTCAACAGTGGGGGATTCGACCAGGACAAGGCGTGTAAAGTGCGCATTCACACAGTCGCCTCTGAGAAATACTCTATAATCTGTCAGGAGCCTTGAAGCATTTGTTTATAGTTAGGAATCTCTCCTCTCTCTCTCTCTCTCTCTCTCTCTCGGTTTTTTGAGACAGGGCTTCTCTGTGTAGCTTTGGAGCCTATCCTGGCACTCGCTCTGGAGACCAGGCTGGCCTCGAACTCACAGAGATCCGCCTGCCCCTGCCTCCTGAGTGCTGGGATTAAAGGCATGCGCCCCCAATGCCCGGCTCTCTACTATCTCTTACATGCATCACCTCTCACTTCCTGAGGTGTGGTCTGTGGTAATCTAAGAGAGACAGAGGTTTTCTGACCTCAGTCCTGCCCCTTTCCCACAATACACCCCAGGTGCAGTCAACCCTTGCTCACAGAGCCTGGAGGATCAACTCTGTTCTTGCCCTCTCTCTTGCCTTATGTAATATTTTTATTCTTCCTTAAGTCCTCGGGCACATTTCCACCTCTTTCTACTTTTAACCGTCTTACTTTTTTTTTACATAAGATTCTACACTTTGTTACCACCTTTAAATAACATTGTCCTTATTCATGCAGAAAATACATATTTGCATTTCCTAAGAAACTCCTATTGGTACAATGACAAGACTTGGCAAAAAAAAAAACATTCAGGTTTTGTATTTTTATTTGAATAGAGATTAATCTTGTCACCTTCTTCCTTTTTCAAGTGCCTTTCCAATACAATAAGTGTCCCTCAGGGATGGGGTGCATTTTTCTAGTAGAAAATGGTTAATTAAAGTGTTGGGGAAAAAACTTTTCTAAGTCTACAGACACAGAAAAACCCACCCCATGTGGGATGTGCAGAAATTAGATACAGTGGTCCCTCAGAACTGGGCAATTAGTGCCAACACTCCTAGTGGATTAAAGAGAGTACATGCTCAGTTCCTTTACATACAATGGCATAATCATGACACATACTGCAGGCACACCCTCCTGGGTATACACCTGGATTATTCCCATTATCGGATACAGTGTAAATGTTTTGTAAATAATTGTTTACTGTATTGTCTCAGCACACAATCACCATGAATCCATTAACATTTATTGTCAGGGTGTACAGCCTAGGTTACGGGGTGTGAGAAGGTATAATAATGCCGTAGACACTTTGGGGTTTCTTAGAAAGTTAAACACAGCAAGCGTGACCCAGCAAATCAGTGTAGAGACAAGGTCAGTGAAAACACGTCTCCCCCAAGACTTGTACACAAGGAGTCAAGTCCGTACTTGCTACTATTGTCAACAGTAGAAACTCCCCAAATACCCATTGGTTGATGAATAGATAAATGATGGGCCAGTAGTTGGCTTTAAAAGGGGATGAAATAGTGACTCCCGAGCAACACAGATGAACTCTAAAAAACACGATGCCAACAGAAAGGAGCCAGTCAGGAAAGAGCACACATTGCACAATTTGTGGAAAATGTTCCAGAGAGAGAAGTCGGTGGGGACAGAAAGTAGAGCGGAGGTTGATTGTGGCTGAAGGAGATGGATGGCAGGAGGGTGGTCCTAAGATACATTTGGGCAGGTGGAGGGACAGAGGTGACAAGAATGCTCCAAAACAGACTGGTGATGTCTCCACGATTCTGTCAAATGTCCAGAAACTATGGAACCACACAGTTAAATGGCCGAGTTGCATTGTGTCTGCACTGTTCCCTAATAAGAAATGTTATAAAAAAGGATGCCACCGCACACAGCCGTTGCATGGAATAGAGGAAGCCTGGAAAGGCCACACAAAGAGCCGTGAATTCTCTCTTCTTCCCTCAGGGTGTGGATAGTCTAGAGCAGTGGTTCTCAACCTTCCCAACACTGTGACCCTCAGGCTGAGACCCCCTGCCATAAAATTATTTACATTGCTACTTCATAACTGTAATTTTGCTACTGTTATGGACTATAATGTAAATATTTTTGGAGACCCAGGGTTGCCAAAGGGGCTGCAACTCACAGGTTGAGAACTGCTGGTCCAGAAGAAGAGACAGAAACACAAGTAAGTAATTATAACACAATATACTGGAATAACAGATAGCAAGTCTGCCTCTTAAAGGGGCCACGTCTGCACCTGAAACCACACCCAAAGGGTGTGGCCACTACTACAAGTTCACTGGCAAGGCAAGATGCCACTACAGACAGGGACACTCAGAACATAAGTACTGGCAGGGCAGAGGAGGAGCACCACCGGTTTAAGATGGAGCACCCTCCATCTTGTGGGGGGCTGGGTACCTGTCCACTCAGTGATGCTGACAAGCCATGGGCAGGAGAAAGAAAGGGAAGCCATCTGGAGAAAGAAACTACATCTCAAGAAGGGGAAGCAGATACTAGAGAGGCTCTGGGGGACGCAAGTGGGACCCAAGAACAGAAGCCAAGGCAACCTTCTACAAAACACATCAAGTGGATGAGAACAGCAGCCCTGGCCAAGACAAAGGTCTTCCGTGGGGATTTCTGGGTGCTGTGAGGATAGGTCAGTTCATGCTTCCTCTAGTCAAATGTTATTTTCAATGTCCGATAAATCTTCTACTAAAAGCCCAACTGACTTAAGAGGGAGCATTTTTCACTTATATGACACAGAGGCGTATAGACAGGTTTATGATCTATACATTGTAGGCAGAGCTGTGGGTGACAGACTTAGAAGACAGACGGTCCAGCACGCTTGGAAAACTAAAGCAGATCTCAACTTCCAGAGCTAATACCCTCTCTTCTAACTAGAAGGAAGAAAGAGAAGAGAGGAACAATCTCTTTTATTTCTTCTCCATTCTGTTTCTCCCCCTGTCTTTTCCTCCCTCTCCTGCGTCCTTCCCCCCAGACTGGGAATGGCTTGGGGGACTCTAGTGACGAGAAGAGGGCCACTTGCTGTAACAGCTCATTTCTTTTGTCTTTACTCCTGATTGACAGCTCTTTTCTTGTCAGTTAGCCAAGCAAAATGCCTTAAAATTTTCTAATCGTGGCTCATAAATTGGTTCTCCCGGCTCCTGATTTCTTTGACTGGTTGTCCTTGAAAGCGTTCCAATTTGTCTAAACCCCTGTTTGGGGGACAAAAAAAGTGCCTACCATGTCTCTAGTGTACATACAGTAGAACTATCCTAGAGCCAAACTATCCCACAGTGGGCCACAATGGCACATAACACAAGTTCTTATTGAAGACTATATTAGGTGGTAAACCACTTCGGGGATGTCCCCAAAGCATATTCTACTTTATGATATCACCCATTTTCCATGTCTAAGCTCACCCTAAAGAGTGTGACTCTGGTGCACTAAAATCTACCACGTGGCCCAAATACAACAAAAAGAAACCTC